TTTACTCACCCTTCAAGTTGTCCAAGTTTTGAATTTTTAATTTTTGGTGAACTATCCCTTTAGCTAAGGTTATAAATATGACTAGTAGTTTTTCCCCAATTTGGTATTAGTAGTTACTAAAAGTAGTTTATTAAAGTACCTCAATATTTCTTCTACTAATTACGTTTTCATGCCTCTAAACAGTTTCTCTTTGCCTTCTTTCCTTAAATCAGACCAAACCCTGTACTGCAGGATAAAGCTGAATGTGCCAGCGCTGGACAGGTTTTTAACAGTTTTTGGCTGAGCAGGGAGGACCTGACAGTGCTGCGGGATCTTCTGAGAAGTGAATGGCAACAGTGATGGGGTGCCACAATCCAGACCCTGGTGTTTCTCTTCTGTCAGCCAGTGATATATCATACAGAGTGGTCTCCAGAGAGTTTGACATGCCCCGTTCCACTGTCACCGCATTGTCCTCTAAATTGCTGAGGAGGTGCTGGCCATTCACCAAGAGATTCACCTCCTGAAGACCCCAAAACACATGGAGGCAGGGCTGGGCTCAGAACTGATGTTTTTTTCTCAATGGGGGCTAACTGTTGTAAATAGTTGTAAAAAAGTACTTTCAGTAATGTATAGAACAATTTGTTTTAATGTGTAAAAATAATTATTTACAGGCCAAACAAAAATAAACATATAGAAGAATGTTTTGTGAAAAATTATAAGCTGCATTAAAATTAACAATGTACATAATTACTTCTCTTTTATTTACACATGTGAATATGCAAAACAAAAATACAAAATATACAGAAAGTACTCAGGCTCATTTACAAATAAATTACACTACAAAAATGAATAATGTATACAACTTTTTCGTTTTATTTTTAACTTATATCACAAAAATAAACTACAGAAATTAGGTTGTTTCGTTGACAATGTGACATTTAAAAAAAGATATTGAAAAATTGTAATGTACCCATTTTTCCCACTGCTTTATCCTGCCTAATAGAGAATGGCTAATAAATAATGTATTTGTTAAGCATTCTCTCAAGAAGAGAAAACAGTCTCTCAATTCTCTCCTTGCTCTCCTGTGCTCTTCTCTCCTCTGTCTCTCTCTGGAGTTTGATGCCTTCCCTGAGTAACTCCACCAGCTTCCACTCACTCCCTCACCTGTCTCAGGACACTTGCAATCCTAAGGCAGAGCAAATAAACCATGCATGTTAACAACAACAGCACAATGAATTTCAGCAAAAATTTGACTATTAACTTGCTTACTTTTTATTGTTTAAGTCTTTCCATAGCAGGCTCATTTTAACACTTATGAAAAATATAAAGACAGGTTTGCAATCTTAACATTAGAAAATACGACACAGCAGGACATGCATACAAAATACTGAAGTGCTAAAGTTTGGTTAAAACATTTGTAGACATATCATGCATGACAGCACTATAAAAACACAACAAAAAGAAAGACTATTGCCCTATATAGTGGTTGTCTTATTGTTTGTGGGCTTTGTGTTAAAAAAACCTGGCTTTTAACACTTGTTTCGCTAGGTATTTGAGTAAATTAAAACACAATACTTACATTTCAATGTGAATTCCCCCGCAGAACTCTCATCCTCCATGTTCTTCGAATATAAACAACGTCGTCATCTGGGCACAAGTGATTCTGGGATATGGTAGGGTGCAAAGTGTCCATCAGATGTACACTTCATTTTCCTGGGAAAAAGGAGGGTGCATTTGACATCGCTTTCGAATTATGTCAGCCTTCGTCGTGCCGCGGTGACACAATCAGCCTTGGAATGCAGTCTTCGGAGGGTGCATCCTGAATTGGGACAGCTTACGTCGTGATGCTGTGACGCAATCGCACTTCAAATGTGCACTCTGGAGTCCGCACACTTCAGTTTCGGGCAGCCTTTCGTCGTGCCACTGTGATGCAATCGCACTTCAAATGCGCACTCCGGAGTCCACGCACTTCAGTTTGGGACACAGCTCAAGTGGCTGAGTAACAGCTCTCTGTGAGCAGCCAATTTCCGTTCTGACCTGGCTAGAACCAGCCAATCGTCGAGGTAGTTCAAAACACAGATTCCCATCTGTCTCAGAGAGAAAAAAGCCGCGTCTATGCACTTCGTGAAAGTGCGTGGGGCCAGAGACAGTCCAAACGGAAGGACTGTGTAGCATCTGGACCAATCAGACACACAATATATATTTTTGTGTTATATTTAACAAATACTCTGTAACACCCCTTAGTTAACAAGCCATATGAGGGTCTATGGACCCTTCCCCCGAAATGCGCATAACCTCAGAAAGGCAGAAAAGTCATCTGGTTACATGGCAATCATGGCTGATATCACTGGTTTTATTGCCCAAAGGAATGTGGGCAGAGAAACTCACACTTCATTTACCCTTAGGAAAAACCCCCAATGCCCATAAAATGGACTCTTCTCTAATTAATTCATAGAAAAACCTTTCTGTGAATGAACACACATATCCTTCAGGTCATTGTGTATATTATTGCTGTCTTGTATATTGTCTGTTGCATTGTAGACTATTTTATGCATGCTTATGATAGAACCACTCATTCATGTTACCTTACATATATCATGTTTGGTCTCTATGAATTCGTATTCGGATGATCTAATTGAGAGTATATATTATATGTTTATACCTATGCAACTTATTAGTGTTCTAAGAACATTTAGTAATCTTTCATCACCCCCCACTCGAGTTCCATTTGCAAATTACCATGCCCTCACACAAAGGTTCGTAAAACCTTCCAGTAATTGCAACCTCCCGCTTGGGATTTCAGCCTTTCTCATTGGACAAGCCCATCTTGAGAGGCGTGAATCTTCTCAGACCTTAAAGGCCTCACATCAGTGACCCACTTCAGTCTGCGGTTCGGTTAGATTCTAAGATGAGGATATGAGCTAGAACGCTTCTGCAACCCGCTAAGTTCGTGCCAGGCTTCGGCCTTGACTTTCCATTCACCGGGATTCTCTGACTCAAACTGGTTCTTTTTCATCAACCAACTTCAGCAAAGATCAACTTGAGCCTTCAGATTGCATCAAGCCTCTCTTTCAGACAGACAAGACGTGCAAGTATTATTAATAAGACTGATACATTAGGTATAATTTGCACCTTTTTACAAAGGTGTGTTTGAACTAAGAAACTGAGGTTTCCTTCAGGCTGTAGATCTGCTGAATATCAAATGGTACCATAGCTTCATGTTTTTATTTCTCTTCTCTTTACTGCTTAAGCTTTAACCCTTTTCCTATACCAACTGTATGCATGTGTGTGTGTGTGTGTGTATGTGTATGTTAGACTTGTTTAAGTGTTTATGTAGTTAATAAAGTCTTACTTGTATCACACTTGACGTTGTTCTTTGTTCATAACTTCTGACGTTGTTCAGTCCCTAATCATGCAGATTTATGCTACATGCTCTGAGTAGTACTGTACAGTAAGAAAGTTATTTTCCTTAACCAGGAAATTAACGTTCTTAGAATTAATAGACAGTTGACCCTGAGAGGTCAAGTAAATATTTACAGCGGATCTAAATATTTATAATTAATTATAACTAGTTATGATTAATTATTCCTATTTCCCCTTTGAGCTGATTCGCTACAACTGTATACTGATAGGTCACTCCCTCGAATGCAAATCTCAAGAATGGTCTGTGATGGGGGGACTATGTAGATGTGAAAGTATGCATCTTTCAGATCCACAGTCAAAAACCAGTCCTTGGGGCAAATGATCACGAGGATCTGATTTATAGTTAACATCTTGAATGACCGGCGCATAAGCGAGATCCAGAATGGGTCTGAGCCCGCCATCTTTCTTTGGAACGAGTATTTCCACAGCGCTTTTTGCAAGCAACATCTGTACCTCCTGTCGGAGAACGAGTGCTTTGTTGTCCAGAACAGAAGTTTGAATAACGCCCCTGCAGGGAGATGGCCTGCGAGCGAACTGGAGCGAGTAACCTCGTCGAATTGCTTTTAAAAGCCAACTTGACACTCCCGGAATGGCTGCCAGAGTCGTGAAATGGGAGGAGAGAGGGTTTATTTTTTCGAATGAGAGCTCGCCAAGAAAGACGGGGAACTTGCATTCATGTGAGTGTGAGAGAGAGAGTGAAGAGCAGCTGCAGGACATGACCCGCTGGAAATCAAACTCCATTGCTCAGAGGTGCTCGGAGGGATGGAGAATGAAAGCGAACTGTTTTGCGGGACGTTCCGGCCAAGGCCAGAACAGAGCCCCTCCTCTTCCTCTCTAGCGCATCAGGACTGCTTAGGCAGCTCGGGGTCCAGCACAACTCGTGAGCAGGGACCTTGATGCTTCGGAAAGGGGAAGCGTTTTGCCATCCGGGAGTGCTGTTGCAGCCCAGGCTCAGATTTGCATTAGGGCTGAGGCTGCACCGGCTTTGCAGGCTGCCGTGGGGCCAGAGTGCATGGGGAGGAAGTGACGCAGTGCCTGCAACGTCTTCTGAGCCTCCGAAAACCTCTCTGCAAACCAGTCCACAGTGGGGCCGAACAGACCCTTCGGCACGACTGATGAGTCTAGAAGGCCATTTTCTAAGCGTCCCTGATCTCAGTGAGGTTCAACCATAGGTTGCGCTCCAGAACCACCAAACTGGCCATGGTCTTGCCGATCGCCTGCACCGTTGCTTTCATGGCGGAGCAGGATATGTTGCTGCGCACAGCTCTTTGAAAGCCTCCTGGTGTTCTTGGACAGACTTGTCCATGCTGCGGAGAAGCTTGGCTTGAAACACCTGGAGAACTGCCTTTTTTTATGGCCGGCCGCTGCATAAGCTCTGTTGGAGAGAACCGAGGTGGTCCTGCAGGGCTTAGAGAGATGTGCTGCATGGGCCTTCAACGCGAGGGCAGATGGCGGGCACAGATGAGCAGCAACCGCTTCCTCCAGAGGGGCTCTTGTGAATGATTATAGGTTATGTTCTGTACCGTCGCTCCGTATATGCAGAGTACGCAGTTTGCGTAGGGCACCAACTCCCAGGAGGGGCACTATCCCAGTTGGTCAAAAAAAAAAATCCTGTGAAACTTTTTCGGCTGTTGGCATTAATGTTTATTAACGTTAATTAATGTTTTAATTATCATATGATGAGCTCATTGACGACTTCGCCTCCAGGAAAAGCAGGTGTGTAAATTTAGAAATTTGGAATACTCCAGCAGATGACGTACTGTATATCAGTGTTGATTTTCGGAGTGGTGCTAGGAATTAATTAAATAGTTGAAAATAAAGTATCGGTTAAGGTAGGTGTAGGGAGGGCTTTATATTCCAATAAGGTGGCATCAATTTTTTTATTTGAATTAAAATGATAAATTACACTCAATACATTATTATTGAATACTGTTTTATAATTTACTACAATATTGAGGTGCAGATAATTGCCACTATTTGCAAAAAAAGTAGTATAAATAGCAGAAAATCCTGCTATTTTTTATCATAGTGTAAATAGACACTTACACAGTGCAAATATCCGCTGCCGTTGATTTTTTGATATTTTTTTTTTGCTGTAGAGCTACAATTGTAATTTGTAAATAATACAATTAAATTACATTTTATTTATTTTATTACTTTTATGTTTTATTAAAGTTGTATTTTGACCCCTATATAATGGGTCTTTTTTTTTTACTTCCATGATACTTGGGGGAGGGACACAACAATACAATTATGCTAAGGGAACCCATTTGGCCAGCAGCCAGCAACACGTTCTTATCGGTGACGGGGACGTGGTAGTTTTACTATGTGTGTCTTTCACTGTGTTCTACGGTTCATTTTTCAATAGGATCAAAGAAAAGAAGATTGAAATGACCTGAATATTGAGTCCGACTCCGTCCGTTAGTTAATAGTGCCCACTAACTTTTGCCCAGTCCCGACCAAAAATACCATTCTGCCTACACCACTGAGTCTGTCTGTCTGTCCTTTAATTAGTTTACAGTAATTTAAATTATAATTATTTTGCTTCAACCCCTGAATAGTACAGGATTGTACTTTAGGTTATTCTATTACTTTATAAAGCATCTTCATATTCTCTGGTATGTAGTTGTTCATGTCAGTTTGCATTTAGCATGACTTTTTATAGCACACTGAGAGAGTTAACGAGCCAATTCAAGGACAACTTTTTCATTTTTTTTATTTTATTGCCATAAGAAGGTAACACCGCATACAACAATATAAACTATAATTTTATACTCACTATATCTAATAGTACAAAATATGAGGTTTCAAAATATGATGGCACAATTTCATGTTTTAAGAAAAGTATAAATTTTTTTGTGGCCTTCACATTACAAAAAAAAAAAAAAAATAGCTGAAATCTCTATGATGTAAACAGGAAATGGAAAAGCATCTTCTGGTTTATAGAAGTTCTGTAGATACACATGTCCACAGATAACAGCACTGATTTATCACGGTAAGCAGCAGGCTTCTACTTTCATTGTTCACTGTACTGGATTCAATCATTTCCCAGTCATAAACAGTTTTGCCAGACCAGCTTTCAGATAACTCAGAGCACCTTTATTGGCTTCATCAGTTACAGCTTTTCTTCTCATTTCCTCCAGCTCTCGCAACCAATCTTCTTTCCCAGCCTCCCTCACTCTGGGGATGAAGAAGTCGAGATGCTGAAGAGTGAAGGCAGAGTCTGGTTTTAGTGCGATCTGAGACAGATGCTTGATGGTCTGGTAAGCTTCGGTGAGAAGATTTAACTTTTGGTCTTCAATCTCCTTCAAATCTTTGTCAAGATGTTGCATTAAAAATGAATATATTTTGGACTCTTCTTGGGCTTTTTCATATTCCTTTTTTATGGAGTCAAACTCCATCATGACATTTGAAATTCTCATAGCATATTTCTTGTTTTCTTTGACGTGTTTGCTGTGATGGCACTTCCCTGTGCACACGGTGCAGTAGCCGTTTTTCATGACTTCACATTTGCTGGGATCAGAAACCCACCAGCAGTCAAACTCATGGCAGTTTTCTTGACAGATGGTGCAGGTCGTCGCCTTCCTGTTCTTCCATGACTTGCTCTCAATGGAAACCTTCTGTTTAACTGTCTTTTTGACTTTAATGGTGAAGTTTTTACACTCCTCAATCTTTTCCTTGTTTTGCATCATTGCCTCCTGGATCTGGCGTTTTTCAGATATCTTTAGCTCCTTCTCTTGAACTCGTAGCTGTAAGTTGCAGATGGATGCTTCAAACTGAATGCGCTCCATCAAGACATCTGAAGTCAGCTCTAAACTTCTTCTGTTAATTTCATTAAGAGACTGAAAAAATTGCTTCATGTCTTCCACACTGTCTTCCCAGGCGTCTCTTTGAGCGCGAATGTGACGCTCTTTAGTGTGACGGCCTTCAGTCTGTCTGTTGTTAAACAAGAAATAAACAGGTTGGTCATTTTTGTCTCGTCTGCAGGGGATTTTAGCTTTTTTAATGGCACCGAGGACGTTTGTGGGTGGCAGACTATCAGAGTGTGTGATTAAGAACACAATGTTGTCCACAATGTCTTTTCCAAACAAAGACAGAATTGAACTGATAATATAATGCTGTCTGTCTGAGAGACGATTCTTAGATGCTTCAATCACAAAACACACGGCATCAACTTCACAAACTCCATCTTTTCTTTGAAACAAAGCAGATAAATTCTCAGCAACTTCCAGATCTTTATCCAGTCCTCTAGTGTCTCCGTAGCCTGGAGTATCAATGATAGTGAGCGATATGGGACTTTTCATAGAAAATAACTCATACATGGTGATTTCAGAGGTTTGTGACTCTGACTGATCTCTGGCTGCTTCTTCTGTAATTTCATACCACTTTTCTTCCTCAAACTTCACTCCCAGTAAGTAGTTGACCATGGTGTTGATGAGAGTCGTCTTACCGACGCCAGTTTCTCCCACCAGAAGAACAATTTTGTTTGGTTTACTGTCATCCTTTTCTCCATAAGTCCATTTTCGGACTTTTCCATTCTCATCAAGATCTTTCCTTTCTGTATGTAGACGGGATCGTTTTGGAGGACCTTCATGAATCAGAGTTGGTCTGCGTGGTGGAAGCTTCGGCCTTCTGTAAAATGCAGATGGAGACAAATATTTCTCAAAATGTTTGTGTAGCAATAATTTAAGACTAAATGCCCATCAGAAAACAGACCTTTTGAGTGAGGTTATGGGTAGTGTAAACATTTATTTTATACTTTTTTAACATAAACAAAGTATTCCCTAGAAACAATATTTTAAACAGATGAGGCCCCTCACATTATGCTGCCATTACATGATGAGGTTTCCACCAAGTTGTATTTGCAAAAGGGCTCATTTCCAGTGTTTTCCCCCCACTCAATGCATATTTTTTTCATTATATATATATAAGGTACATACAGATCACAAATATAGACTTATATTTTGTCACATGTGACGTCACAGCTAAGGACTGTCAATAGTTAAGCGTTTGAGACTGTGGCTGAATTTGAAATATCATACTAATAGGCTATACGCTCACTATTTTTGCCATGGCTTTCATAATGGAAGTAAGATTGATTACTATGCTATTTTTTTGTTTTTTTAATTCTGAGTTCAGCATCTGTGGTCCATTAACCAATCCGTGTTGTTGTCACGTGATCTTCGTTTTAACGGTCTATGCTGTTTTCAGCACATGCGCAAATAAAACTTAACATTATTTGGAGCGCAACCCACAACAAATAATCTCAGTGAGCTTTGTGTTTTGAAACTTTTGATAAGAAACACAATTTATCAAATTTTTCATGCAATGCAAACAATAAAACATGGTTTTGACGCTCTTTATTGTGACGTGACGGATAGGGTCCTCAGTTCAAGCGGCATCATCTCTTCCTCTTTTCTACTGATTCAACATCAGAAGGCGAGTTCAAATGTACAGAACAGCTTACTGCAACCTATCAGCTTTCATGTAATAGCTCAATATGTGTTTTAACCACGGAACGATAGTAAGTAAAACGCTTAAAAAATGTGAAGTGAATAACATTCATGTCATGTGACGTTGCATTACCTCAGTCAAGTTCGCTTCCTTAGTTAGCAAAAAAAAAAAAACTGACAGCAGTTAAAACTAACTGAATGGAGTGACTGCTTGCTAAAACACTCAAACACTGTGAGATATTGTTACATATTTTATGTAGCGAAATATTAAATGCCATATTCAGGATTTTTCTATTTTGTGACCAAAGACCATTGAGTCCATCAGATGGCGCCATAAAACAATACACCAAATGGAATGACGCTCATTCAGTTCCTTTCTGTCTAGTTTTGCCTTTGTAATGATAGATCACCAGATCAGGATTAGTGTGTGAGTGTTGGATTGTTATAAAATTGGACCCACTTTGTATTAAGTGGACTTAACAAATATGTACTTACATTTAAATTAATAATTTGGTACAATGCACTTATCTATGTTTTTACATTGTACTTATATTTTAAAAATACCTGCATGCAATTACATCTGTAATTAATTTCTGGAATTACATTTATAATTACACTGTTGACCCATCCCTTACACCTTAACCCACCCTTAAACCTACCCATACCACCAAACCTGTCCCTAATCTTACCCGTATCCCACCTCAATAGCAGCAAAAGTATTTTTCAATACAATATGAACACAATAAGTACATTGTACTTAATTTGTGATGTAATTACATAGTAGTTAATGCCACTTAATATAAAGTGGGGCCTAAAATCATTTCATAGTTCAGTATCAATATAGAATATTCACACCATTTTAGCAAGTGATTACCTAACATTTAAAACAAGTAATTAATTAGCCCTCCTAGAAAGCATGTGAACTTCAACTCACGTGATACTCATGATGATCGCTGGACTAAATGTGTTCCTCTCAGAAGAGCTTTTCCTTCACCTTCCAGTCTGCTTACAGAAAAAAAAGTCGTGTTTTGTAATGATAAAGTTTTGTAATGTTTTTAGTATATAAACTATTATATTTGATAATTAACAAAAACATCTATTTCAAGTATATTATTTAATGTCCAAATAGTTTGAGACACAATTTTGCTATGAAACATAAATATAAACAAATATTCTTACACACCAGCCTCTGCATCGAGTGTCTGTATGAAATGGCAGCTTCGACGGAAATGCTGGTTAATTTAACAAGTCTAACTGGCTGAAGTCCCTCCTTTTGTCTCATAGTTGAGGTATACCTATGATGAAAATTACAGGCCTCTCTCATCTTTTTAAGTGGGAGAATTTGCACAATTGGTGGCTGACTAAATACTTTTTTTCCCCACTGTATGTGCACTCTAGTATCTGAATAGATTATGAATAAAATGCTGGGGAAAACACATGGTTGCATGCTGGTAGAAATTATTCCTACTGTTAATGGACTGCTGTAACGAATATGAATTCAAGCACTGACCATATGTTTTGTATCATGCATACAGATATTTTTGCATTTTTGTTGAAATAATGTTCATATTAGGAATGTGAAAATAGTACTTAACTGGTACTTAAAATAAATAAAATATAATGCTACCAGTTATATTTGTATGTGTTAATATTACCATACAAGCTCCATCTTCAACAGTGTTGTTACTGATGAAATCTCCAGAAATATATATATTTATGTGTGTGTATGTGTGTGTGTGTGTGTGTGTGTGTGTGTGTTATTTTAGGTGTGTCTATAAATATTTGCTTTTATCACACACCTTGTTTATTCGAAGCACAGCAACAGTGACATATTTTATCTGCTTTTTGCATTTTGTGATTGCTTTGTAGGTTTTTGTAATGCATTGCAAGTGAAAGATTAGGGTAGTTTGAGCAATATGATGGTGAATAATTGTTGTGTCGTCTTCATGCTGATGAACATAGAACATAATTTTTTGTGGAAATTTCATGCTGAGTTTAGTTTTAGGCTCGCTACAGGAACGTATGTCACCGGATGTACAAAAATCAGATCAAGGGTGAATGATTAGTTTTATAAAGTTGTCAAGACCTTCAGATAAAATAAACTTCTTGAGTAGCATGCTGCAGGTTTAATATACTTATGTTATTAAATCTGGGACTTTCTGACTCTTGACTACTGAAACAAATAGTAAAAAAATTGTGCTACGACTTTGAATGTTGTCTTTCTAGTTGGAAGCTGAAAATGCAACTGGACAAGTGACATATTTCTGTAAGTTACAGTATACATTATCTGTGCTTATAAGGAAACAAACTCATCTTTGATAACTGAACTTTGTATCTTAAATGTGCACAAACATAATTGTTTTTTTCTACACTGAGAAAACCCCCTAAATGTACACCTAAAGAAATACATAGTATACTGTTTAATAATTATGATTACGATCACATGAGATTAATTCAGTAATGTTCAGAAAGCAGCTTTATTCTAGAGGGGAAAAAAACTTTCTTCAAATAATGTAAAACAAATGTTTTCAATTGTTTTGTTTTTTTTCTCATTTTTAGTTTATAATTCAGACTGGTGTTGGTGTTTGTACATATGTATTAGTATATAACATTTACCAGTACAAAACATACATTTTTGTACGTTTAGATGCTCGAATGTAGTCCACAGTATGGATTTACTGACATAATCTACAATGTAAACTTTATTACATATTTGCAGCTATAGAAATGTCAAATATCTACAATTATGTTATATCTTGAAGTGAAGAAAATGCTTCATGCCGTCCACGCTGTCTTCCCAGGCATCTCTTTGAGCACGAATGTGACGCTCTTTAGTGTGACGAGCTTCAGCCTGCCGGTTGTTGAATAAGAAATGAACAGGTTGCCCGCGTTTGTCTCGTCTGCAGGGGATTTTAGCTTTATTAATGGCACCAATTACATTTTTGGGTGGCAGACTATCAGAGTGTGTGATTAAGAACACAATGTTGTCCACAATGTCTCTTCCAAACAAAGACAGAATTGAACTGATAATGTAATGCTGTCTGTCTGAGAGACGATTCTTAGATGCTTGAGTCACAAAACACACGGCATCGACTTCACAAACTCCATCATTGCTCTGAAACAGAGTGGCTAAATTCTCAGCAACTTCCAGATCTTTATCCAGTCCTCTAGTGTCTCCGTAGCCTGGAGTATCAATGATGGTGAGCGATATGGGACTCTCTTCAGGAAAGACTTCATACATGGTGATTTCAGAGGTTTGTGATTCTGATTGATCTCTGGCTGCTTCTTCTGTAATTTCATACCACTTTTCTTCCTCAAACTTCACTCCCAGTAAGTAGTTGACCATGGTGTTGATGAGAGTCGTCTTACCGACGCCAGTTTCTCCCACCAGAAGAACAATTTTGTTTGGTTTACTGTCATCCTTTTCTCCATAAGTCCATTTTCGGACTTTTCCATTCTCATCAAGATCTTTCCTTTCTGTATGTAGACGGGATCGTTTTGGAGGACCTTCATGAATCAGAGATAGTCTGCGTGGTAGAGGCTGCGGCTTTCTGTAAAATGCAAATAATTTAGTTATATTTGTGTTGTGAGAATGTAAGACTAAATCAAAACAAAATACAGACATTTTGTTATTGTGTAAAATGTAAACCATTTAATATGTACTTTTTTAACATGAAAATAATAATTGCAACAATTTAAAAAAAAATTGTTCAACCAGGAAATCCCTTTGAATTAATGTATTAAAGATCATCAGTTTACCTGAGGCCAGGCTAACCTTTATATAATAATGAAAGGTTTGTTATAAAGGCTAGCCTGGCTGGACTTTTTAGAGATTATGATCCTCTGAATCAAGTGAGTAATGGATAAGAACAGTCACTTACAGAATATTGGGAGGATCATCCATGCTGTTGTGCCGACGGCGGGTACTGGGTAATTCCATTGTTGCTGGTGTTAAAGGGATAGTTCACCCAAAAATGTACATTGCATCATTTAATCACTCTCATGTCGATTCAGTCCTGTATGACTTATTTTCTTCTGTGGAAACAAAGAAGATATTTGAAGAATGTTGAAAACCAAACAACATTGGACTCCACTGACTATCATTGTATGTACAAAAAAACACAGACATTTCTCAGAATATCTTCTTTTATGCATAATCCTGTTTTCCTGCTTAGTCTTTTTTGTGTAATTGTTCACATGTAGGCTAAATCTTGAAGATTAATTTACTAGCAAAATTCCATCTGTGTTACAAGTGGACTGAGAAAGTAAATCAGTCACATATTAAAAACATTTATACTGTTTTAATTAGTTTTGATTTTAGTCTGTTGAGTTGAATATCTTTGTATGTAAAGCAATATAATTTAGAAGACTGAATAGTGTTATTTTGAACCAATTCCATTTTCAAAACACTGTAAATTCAGTGTTGATATTTTTTACATTTCCCAATTATCAAAAATAAATAAATAAATAAAAAACATTCACATATATGTAAACTCAAAGTCTATTCTAGTAACTTGCATAAGCTAAATAAAAAGCAAAAAACAAAAACATGATTAAAATAATTTTAACAATAGATATTTTATCTCATTTATTTTCTTTGTTTTAAACTTGTTTTCTGAGAGAGCATGTATTTATAATACTTACACCATTTGAGACCATATCGTTGTTGAGATTTCACAGCAAACCTCTTCTTGAGTTGTTTATTCTTCCATGACTTGCTCTCAATGGGAACCTTCTGTTTGACTGTCTTTTTTACTTTAATGGTGAAGTTTTTACAATCATCAATCTTTTCCTTGTTTTGCATCATTGCCTCCTGAATCTGACGTTTTTCAGCTATTTTCAGCTCTTTCTCTTGAACTCGCAGCTGTAAGTTGCAGATGGATGCTTCAAATCGAATTCGCTCTATCAGGACATTTGAAGTCAACTCTAAACTTTTTCTGTTCTTTTCTTCCAGTGACTGAAGAAAATGCTTCATGCCGTCCACGCTGTCTTCCCAGGCATCTCTTTGAGCACGAATGTGACGCTCTTTAGTGTGACGAGCTTCAGCCTGCCGGTTGTTGAATAAGAAATGAACAGGTTGCCCGCGTTTGTCTCGTCTGCAGGGGATTTTAGCTTTATTAATGGCACCAATTACATTTTTGGGTGGCAGACTATCAGAGTGTGTGATTAAGAACACAATGTTGTCCACAATGTCTCTTCCAAACAAAGACAGAATTGAACTGATAATGTAATGCTGTCTGTCTGAGAGACGATTCTTAGATGCTTGAGTCACAAAACACACGGCATCGACTTCACAAACTCCATCATTGCTCTGAAACAGAGTGGCTAAATTCTCAGCAACTTCCAGATCTTTATCCAGTCCTCTAGTGTCTCCGTAGCCTGGAGTATCAATGATGGTGAGCGATATGGGACTCTCTTCAGGAAAGACTTCATACATGGTGATTTCAGAGGTTTGTGATTCTGATTGATCTCTGGCTGCTTCTTCTGTAATTTCATACCACTTTTCTTCCTCAAACTTCACTCCCAGTAAGTAGTTGACCATGGTGTTGATGAGAGTCGTCTTACCAACTCCGGTCTCTCCCACCAGCAGAACAATTTTATTTTCTTTACTGTAATTTTTTTTCCCAAAAGTCCATTTTCGGACTTTTCCATTATCATCCAACACTTTTTTTTCTGTGTATAGACAAAATCGTTTTGGAGGACCTTGATCGATCAGATTTGATCTGCATGGTGAAAGACTTGGCTGTCTGTAAGAAATAGAGGGAAATGAGAAATGCTGATCAATAAACAGACATCACAGATAATAATTTATTTATTTCCAGCCAGCTGTCTTTGACAACATAGTAAATAAAGAGAAGGGTTTTGCAGACCACAGAACAGGTTTATGCACTGTAGTTCGCTCGCAGACCCCCTTGTTTCAGAGGTGTTATTCAAACTTCACTACAGGACAACAATGCTCATGTTCTCCACTCCAAAGTGTACAGTCTGCTTGCCAGCAAACAGAGAGGCATGCTTTTACAGCCACTACTTTCTCATTCCTAAGAAAAACGGTTGGCTCAAGCTCATCGTTGACCTCGGACACCTGAACTGTGCTCTAATGAGACGCATGTTCATGATGTTAACTTTGAGATGGATCCTCATGCAAATATGTCCAGGGGACTTGTTTTTATCAGTGGATCTGAAAGATGCTTACTTTCACATCCAGATAGCCCCACATCACATACTGTTCTTCAGATTCGCGTTCAAGGGGGTCCTTCCTTTCAGACTGTCCTTGGCCCTGTGCACTTTCACGAAGTGCATGGATGCAGCTCTTTCCCATCTGAGGCAGATGGGGAATCTGCATTATGAATTACCTCGATGATTGGCTTGTGTTATCTAGATCAGAGCAGGAACTTCTAGCTCACAGGTCGCTGCTGCTCAGCCACCTGGAGCACCTTGGTTCAAAATCAATTTGGCTTAGAGCTCTCTGTCTCCCAGCCAGCTATTTGTCTTCCTGGGAACAGTTGTCAATTCAGTCCAAATGTGGGCCAGGTTCACGCCCGAATGTTCACTGATAATTCAGCGGCTAGTGGCATCATTCACATTTGGAGCTTCTTGCCCTCTCAAGGTTTTCCACAGGATACTTGGCCTCATGTCAACCACCTCCCCTGTGATTCCTCTAGGCCTGTTTCACATGCGGCCACTTCAATTATCTCAAAGCTCATGCACCGTCCCACGCTTGGCGCTTGGGATGTTTTCACCTCAAGGCGAAAACATCAGAGCTGTGGCCCCTTGGAAAGCCCTCCACCTGTATCAGGATTTACATTGGGACAGACCTTAGAAAGTAGTCATGGAATGTAGTCACAACAGACACCTCCAACTGGAGTGCTGTACGAGGGCAGACTGTAATTCAGCTCCTGGTCCAACTTGCACATCAACTGCTCTGAGATGATGGCGATTTTTCTGGCACTAAAAACCTTCCTCCAGCCTTGAAGGGGCACCACGTCCTCGTACATTCGAACAACATGACAGTGGCAACCTTTATATATCATCAAGGCAGTTTCAGGTCACACTCTCTCTACAGGATGGTTATATGCCTCCTTATATAGGCACATTGCAATCTGTGTTCACTCAGGGCAGTTCACGTGCCAAGCAGACTGAACCATGGAGCGGACATGCTGTTCCGGGGCAATGTATCTCTGGGAGAATGGAGATTACACCCCAATGGTTCAGAGGATTTGGGCAGACTCCGAGAGGGCAGAGTTGGACATCTTCGCCTCAGAAGACAACACCCATTGCCCAACTTATTTTTCAAAGGAGCCGAATGCTTTGGCCCATGATTGGCCTAGCATCCCCCTGTATGCCTTCCCTCCAGTCAGAGAAGTCAGGTGGCCCCACTCTGGAGCAACGAGACTTGGTTCCTGACTCACGACTCACTCAGCTGACTCACGACCACTGTTGCTTAAGATTGCCCTCCTTCTGACTCTAGCGTCAGTCAAGTGAGTGTGCAATCTACAAGTGCTTTCAGTTAGCACTTCATGCCTTGAGTTCGGGCCTAAAGACTGTAAAGTCGTCCTCAAACCAAAAGATGGCTACGTGCCCAAGGTGCCCTCCACTCCATTCAGAGCACAAGTCATCACCTTTCTAGCTCTTCCTAACTCAGAAGATGAGCAGTGAAAGGATTGAATTTATTTCCTTATGAAATTAACTCTTCATGAAACCAATACTCAGGAACTCACACAAAACAGACACCATGCAATAAAACAATAAAACTTATCTGGAGAAGAAATCTTCAAAGAGAGCAAACAACGCCTCTCTCCTCGCCCATTTACGACCCCCTTCTCCCCCTGGCCTCTCTGCCTCTCCCTCTTTTCCCCCAAAAGGTTTCACCCAAAGTTCATTAAGAATATGCATATCCCACAGATCATGTATCTTGTGAACCTGTTGTTTTTCCCCTTCATGTTTAGTGTCATTTTAAAGGTCTTTGTGTGATTGGTAAATTGGTTTCAATTTCAAAGTAGTCATTTATATTGTGAGAAAGACTTAACACTTTTGTAGAATTGTGTTGTGTTGAGGAGGGGGTGTGTCCCCCTTTAGGGGTCTGTGAGAAAGTTTCCAGCCGGGTGTGACCCTGGATCACAGAAACTAACAAACAAAAGGTCTTTTATGCTTTTACAACTGATTTATAGATTTCTCTGTCTTTGTTCTGGTAGTATTTAAGGGAAAGTTGCAAATCAGTCAGGGCGATTCTGTAGCCAGAAAGCCCGTAGTGTGAAGGTGTCCACAAAATTCACACTATGTATTTTTCACACGAAGTCAGGTATGCATCTTACTCTTAGATTTGTCTTTGAGAATTTGATGTCTTGTATTGATTTAATATCTTTGAATTGTCTATGTAATTGGCATAATACATATTTACCTGACTGATAATAAATTGTTATATTTGATTTATTCTGAAATCTCCTAAAATCATTATGACTAGTAAACTGTGAGGAGGCTTTTGTTACCACAAATCTATGGCCAGGATAGGTCAAACTGAAGGCTTGTGAATGATAGGAGCAGTAGGCACGTCATCGGAGACCTTCTGATTTCTGTCTATCGCCGATGTTAGCAAGTTGTACGGGAAAGTACTAAGTGAATTACACTTTTTGTCATAAGCAAGCAGTAGGCGGCAGGCAAAATAGGTATTAGTCTACCTACACCCTCTGACTAGCATCAGACTGGCGAGTTTGTGACCGTAAGATCCACGTAAGGCCAGCGTGAGACTTGAAAGAGACATTAGGTCCCCAGTGAACGGATAATTGAAAGTATAGTGAGTCAGGAATAATCAAATATCTAAATTAATATTTGTGATCATTAAAGTTAGGCAATATTTCAAAGCAATATTTCTAATTAAAAACTGATCACGTGAAATTGGAGTCAGATTGAACATGGAGCTAGACAAAATTGAAACTAAGTCCTGATAAATTCAGAAGCGCAAG